GAATCGTCACTTCACAAATTACAGGACGTTAATATGATCATAAGTGTTTATATACTTAAAAATTATATAAAGATGTTTTAAAAATTTCGGTTAAGAAACTTCCATCTACCTTAGCCTAATCCAACTTTTCCCGCTTTTGAAGCGCCCTCTGAGATTTCAAAATCTTTTAAAAATGAAAAACAATGAATCGACCTATCGAAATTTAAAAATTCGTTTTCGAATTATTTTTATTAATTACAGAAAAATTAGAGAATTATTTTAAATTAAAACATTATTATAATTTTTTTTTAATTTAAAATTTGAATTAGGGGTTTCATGTTCAGTGCTGACATTTTTTTCCTTCGATGGGATTTTTTTTGAGGGAATACATTCATATAAAAGATTGATTTAGGACCCCCAGGCAATTGCTCTTTTTGTCCATACGATAAGGCGCCACTGGCCCAAATACATGTAGAAAAAGGCCGAGTTGATGTACAAAAAGAGTATACAGAAAAGCATAGTCATTCATAAAAACATTATTGAATAATGTAAGACGAATTGCATCATTGAAAATTTATCTATCTCGTATCAAGGTTAATATGGAGGTTATTGCGTAATCGCTTATCCTCCGAAGAGCCGACCGAAGCTTTTACGCTTGACCGTACGGAATTACTCGAGTAGAGCTGGGGAAAAGCTTTCCGGAAGTCTTTTAAGGGTAACTGGCCCCTATTTAGTCGTTAGAGACGTGGAGAAAACCCCGAAAACTCCACGTGGCCAGTCTGTCCTGGCGACACGAAATTTATCGGTGGAATATAATTTATATAATAATTAAACAGATATTTAATTTTTAATAAGTTTTTTTATTTATTCGTAACATTTTAATAATAACTAATTATATTTTCTGAAAAATTTTAATTAATTTTAAACATATATAAAATACATTTAAGTTTTGACTAGTAATGGGCGAGTAATAAATCCGATACTGATATAATCTGGCAGCCATGTTCGTTAATACGAGTTCATCTCTTTGTTTTTTGTGTACGCACGTGTCGTTTTTCCAAGAAGAGTCGGCGATATAAAATGGGTGACAGATATAATATACATAGTCAATTGGAACATTTACAGTCAAAGTACATCGGCACTGGTCACGCAGACAGTGGAAGGTTCGAATGGGTAGTGAATCAACATAGAGACAGTGGTGCATCGTGTATAGGCCATTTTGATTTACTTAACTTGTTTAGCATAGCCGAAAATGAAGCGAAAGCAAGAATCCGATTTAATATTACGGAAAAGATGCTCCAGCCTTGTGGACCTCCTCGTGAGAAGCCGGAAGATTAACATCCGTCAACTCTAAATTATAATTGTAAATAATTCACAAAAAGTTACATTTAAAGGTATGGAGTAGTAACACATGAATGCGTATTAATGAGTAGATATGGTGATAAATTTTAACATATTCTTATTACTTTTTATTGAAGTAAAGAAGTTTACACGTGGACTTCACGAGAAAACAACATGGCTGACTTGCATGTGGTTGTTTACAAAAAGAAAATTAAGATAGCATATAGTCATCCACGGCGAGCACTGACGTTGCCCAGTGAATAAAGTAGGAACAGTGAAAAGAGTAATTGTTTACCTGTTGATGCTATTCAAATAAGTTAACTGTGTTTTGTCAAAGTTAAAATTTGCTTGTTTATGAGATTATGGATAATACTTTTGAAGACTGTACTAAAGATACAAATAAATATTGTGTAAGATTTTTTGTAGTTATCATAGCATTGCAAAATTGAAAATTGCAATATTCACTGAAACATATGTTGCACACTATAATTCTCTACAAAGTTAGGGCACTTGTTGTTACTGGTGCTCCTATTTTGGCCATATTTCTTATTTAATTCTTTTAAGCTTCTTGCTATGGATTTTGCATGTTGCTGTTGATAAATGAATGATATTGATGATTTTACTTGTTTTAATGAGTTACCAATGGGTACCTAATGCAAGTGAATCCATAAGTTTGTTAGTCTTTCATTTACTAAAACTACAATAGAGAACTGAATTAACATGTAACCTACATTTGAATGTCTTTATAATTGGTCACAAATGGATATAACAATTTTTATCTTTTACCTGTTCTGGCAATGAAAACTGTCATAAATGGTTTATTAATTTTCATTTGTGGTCTCTAATTAATCTAAAGGCTTGGTTTGCTATTTAGGTACTGTACCTATCTACTTGCCTAGTTTAGTAAAGATTAAGTAGGCATTTATCCTCAAATGGTAGTATTGGATTAGATGATGACGATGACATCAATCCTCAACTGCTATCATGTGGCAAGTGGAGTTACATTCGGCCTTCTCAGTATTGCGTCCTCCATAATACTGAAATATTCCCAATACATTCTGTTGTTTTCCATTTTATTATTGTGGTCATTTATTTTTTTAATCCTCTCCATTCATTTACTGTCCACCTGTTGAATTGTCACCATTATCTTACCCATAGAATTTAATTGGTCACAAATCATTGCCCATATCTACAAATGAAAATTTTTAGCTGTTATTCCATATAAAAAAAGTTTAGAAAAGTTCTCAATAAATTAGCCAACAGTCTCTTAGTCACATTGTATTTAGGTTATTTTTTCATTTTTTGCAAAAGAACATCTTTAACAATAGTTGAAAATATAACATAACTGCATATAGTGATTATGCAATTTGTTATTTGGAGCAAGTACAAAACACACATCTTACTAAATAAAATAATAGCAAATTAATTACAAAATTAATACATAACTGCTTTTCTTTTGTACATAGTTGAATGAAGTATGAGTAAATAATGACAATTTTCCTAAGAAATAGTTAACCTATAATAGTTGTCCTGTCAGATTTAAAGAAACTAAAATGTTTGATATATAACTTTTTAGAAAAATTTAGTAAAAAAAAAAAAAAATAACGTTTACTTGTTTCTGAGTATAAAGGTGAATCAAATTTTTCATGATGTTCCTTCATTAACGATATTAAATTCAATATCGCCCAATGAGGCCATCGGAATGTGCTACGGTCAAAATCGTCTATTATAAAAAAATATATATGTCAATGATTTGAAATTGTCATATTAAAATATTAAATAAACATTTATTCTATTAATACATATATAGTCGATGAATAAACCGCGAATAAATTAATATTCGGTTAGTACGTTAATAGAATATTTTAATACTAGTAGCTCGGGACGCCCCCTAGTGGGCGTTCTTTACAAATTTACATGAGGCATGGTTCCTTTGACTTTTTTGTTCCTATCAATATGCTCTACAGCTCTGTTAAAATCCGAATGGTAAGATTTACCCTCCAAATGAAGAGGTGGCGACCCCCCCAAACCGTAGACCCCTGTACTAACAATAAAGTCAAAGGAACCGTACCCCTACTCGCGACCCTTCGAAAGATATAAGCCCCTGAAATAATAAATTCCTATTACAAATATACTGAATTATTTATATTGTTATATTGACCAAATAATAATTTATTTGCCAAATGAATAATAATAATTTATATTGTTAATTTAATTTGAATGTTTGAAATATGTCACATGATAGGGGCGCCTCTAGTGTCGGTTATCAAACGGTTACGGGACGGACGGACGGAAGGAAGGAAGGACAGACACCTGTTGAATGGGTTATATATATAGATA